AGTTACTTCTTTGTATGATCTACAGGTCCATGTATAGAGTTACTTGTTTTCAAATTGATTACCTCCTTCCTTTCTTTGGAAGGAAGGAAGTAATCGGTCAGTGACTGTGGATTCCGAAGTTCTACGAAACTAATTATTACTCACTCACCAAATGCTTTGAAGCCTACTTCATCTTTGGTTTGACCTGCAATATAGGGCACTTTCATGAAATTTCCTTTTGTAATAAGGCGAATGGGATGCTCCGTCAAAAATTTCTGTTGTCCAAAATCTCCCTCGATCACAGGTCCCCAAATCATCATGGGATTGGTACCAAATTCCTGAAAGTCATTTTGATACCTTTAAAAATTTGATTTTCATGATGAATACGATGTGAAATCTCACAAATAACAATATTAGGATATTTGAAGAGTAATTACAAAATTCTCACTGCAATCGATGGCGCTCGTTTTATTAAACTGTAAAAGAATTTCAATGTTTGGCTTATACAATTCATGTTGTGATCTCGCTTTTGGAGGTTCCCAATTTAAAAAATTAAGTATAGTTGAACTGTACCATAACATGAAAATTGAATAAAATATTCGAAATGTAGAAACAGAAAAATATTAAGAGTATGAAATAATAGTTACTACTGAACCGATGGAATCCAACAATGAAATTGTGTTCAGTTGCGACAAATGAGAATGATCAGTTTGAAAACTCGAGATAATGCGTAGGTTTTGGTTTTCCAATTCTACATCTTCATACGGAGATGCATTTCTTTAATGTCTCCCCCCTTGTATCATCGATACAAAATTAAAATGGTACACCAATTAACTGAAGATGACCCTGATCGAAGAACAGAATTCTGCGAAATCATGACGGAAACCATTGTAAGGCATCCTACCTATCTCCACAATATTTGTTTTAGTGACGAATGTACATTTTTTTGAACGACAATGTTCACAGACAAAATTGCCGTTATTGGGAAACATATTCCCATAATCTAGAAAAAAATTACCGTTTGGGCAGGAATATTGGGAAACCATATTGTAGGACCTCTATTTATTGATCAAAATTCAACAGAGGCACTGTATTTGAATATGCTGGAAAGTACAGTTGACCCTCTCATCACTGAAATCGTCGAAGCGAATTCTAATGAATTCTTTATGGATATTGTATNGAATTTCTAAAAAGTACTTACTACTACTCCAATGCTTTGAAGCCTATCCATTTCTTTTTGTATAAAGATGAATAGGTTGACAGTCACAACCTTTCTTTCCTAAAAAATTAATATCTCCTAAAAATATACCTCTTTCGATTTAAATAAGTAGGTAAAGTAACTCAATGATAATTTATGTCTCACCAAGAATCCTAGCAAAGATTCAGCTAATTGTTCAGCTGGAACCTTTTTTAGACATTTTACTATTTTCTCTGAAGTATCATCTGGACATCCAACTAAACGGGCCTGTTTCTTTGCTGCTTCTAGGAGATTCGTTTTAATTGGCCAAATCCCAATCGGGGAACCACTCATTGAGACTGCCTTGTGGAACAGTCCTAGAAAAATTCAGGTCGAAAAACAAAATGCAACCTAGTTTGAAATAGTTTTCACTGTTCCCAACATTTCAACAATGTCGACAATATTTTTTGTTTCAAGTTACACATACAGTTAGTTGATAGAAAAAATGAGTGTTTTTTTACGTATAGGTTGTAGCCGAATAGTATGATTCTGATAGATATATCCTTATTGTCTAAAATGTAATACATTTTGTCGACAAATGGTGTCATGTTCATAAATACATGGAATGTAAAAAATAAATAGAATGTTGTTTTTCAAAGACTATATAGTATTCACAAAAATGCAGTGACGATTAAAAAATAATCCAAAAATATCAAAGATAAGAAAAAATGTACGAATATGTTATCAATAAAACAACACAATTTTAAAATTACTTGACATAAATCGTATTATACAAAGTGGTATACCGAAAGACTGGAATTTGTATGCAAAAAGGTCTTCCAAACTGTAGAAGCACTTTCCCAAACAAGGATCTTTACTGATTTTCTAAATTTTTTAAGTTCAATAATTGATGTGATATGTTTTGGTAAATTATATTTGTCCACATCTATAGATTTGATATTGTCTGGTCAAAGATCATATGAGCAGTGGAAGGGCAAGTAACGATAAATGTCAAAACGTATTTGTATCATAATATGACAGATCCGTGCCATAAAATAGGAAACAAAATCTCCATCCATTCACAAAGCATAACCTAATATAGATAGTCTATTAGTCGCAGAGAACAAACACATCCGGTTCTTTGAACTTGATATGAATACTTTTGATTGAATTCAAACCAAATTATTTGTTAAAAGCATTCTAGTCGGCAATGAAATAGCATAAGAAATTTGTTTANTTGGTGATGGGAAAAAACTCAAGTAATATTTATTACTACACCAAAGGTTCCAAACAGTGCATCACAAGTATTGGTTGAACAAAAATTAACCAAAAATCTATCTTATGTCTCACATGTACTGGTTATCCCTATTGAGGGGATCGTTGATAGTCGCTTAGAGGAGAATAGTCCATCAGACAACTTTAACTTCGCATGAACAATATCGATTTTGAATTGACATATCTGCTAATATATATTTTATTCAAGTGATTTCATGATGATCCAAGGATTTGAAAAAGTGAATACTGAAGTAGCTAACGAAATATTATATAAATGAAACATCACTCTCAGTTCAAAATTAGTTCTTTCATTAAGTTCAAATATTTTTTGTGAAATATGAGTCGAAATGTACAAATATGAAGTGTTACCGAAAAGTTGAATACATCTTTTCGTCCGAATTTTGGTCATATGCAGTAACTTCGTTAGACAAATGAAGTACCTATACATTTTACCAAACTGTCAGGAATATTAACTAAGCATCCAAGATAATTCTAATCCAGATTACTCATCAGTGAATATGTTCACAATCTGAAATAAGTAGTTCTTACCCCAAGGAATGGTGTTATTGGTTCCAGGGAGATAAAAATAACTGTATCTTCCTTGAAAATTGAAACAGTAGTAGTACACAGGTTTGTCCCCATATCGTGCCACTAATTTTGCTCCCCTGTTGACCTGGAAAGTTACTAAAGTATCCGTGAATGCCTGAAAATGAAAAACATGGAACTTCAATTTTGTTCAGAATCTGAGTTTTAACATTATAAATGGAAATGAATGGGCTTCAAATTGATTCTACTGAATTCTTTTTGTTGTTGAAAACAGTTTCAGATTATTCATTCAGAAAGTCTCCTTTCCACCCTCTATGTACTTTTTGATGTTTTCTCGTATTGATATAAATATTGAAGATCAAAAATAACTTGAAATAGTATTTCACAAAGATGTCGCAGGTATTTTCAGAATCACTGTATCAATATTCATGATGAGGCAACACATCAATGCGATTTAGAAATATATTTTTCGCAAAAGGTGTGCTTTCTTCTTTTTTGGTGAATCGTTAGTCTATTGGTGGTTTTTTTAATTTCGACTTGAAAAAGCACGGAAAAATAGTGGGAAACCTTCACACCCAAAATTAAAAAATGTGTTTATAAAAATATTTCTAAATCGATTCGTATCTAGTTCAATTACCAACTTTCATGCTTTCAATATTGTGCTATTGATATTGTTGATACTGTTTGATCTGTTGATACTGTTTATTGACTACATTACATACGAAGTGAGATTTGTAGTAACAATGTGTTATATAAATTCATACACCACCAAAACATTT